AAATCCATAGAGAGAGAAGTAAATTAGAGGTTACCAGGGACTGTGGTGAGGGGGATGGGGAGTTATTACTTAATGGCTACATAGTTTCTATTTGAGGTGATGAAAAATTTTGGAACCAGGACTGATAGTTGCAAACCAGTGTGAATGTAATTAATGCTACTGAATTGTACACTTAAAAATAGTTAAAATGGCAAATTTTATGTTATGTATATTTTACTCTAACAAAAAAATTTTAAATATACTTGGAAGATTTAAAAGAAAAAAAGAATGCAAAATACTTCATTACTTATTTTAAATTGATTACATACTGAAATAGTATTTTGAGTATATAAGGTTAAATAAACTAAATTATTAAATTTAAAAAAAAAAGACCTGGGAAGGTCTTAAAAAATACCAGTGAGAGCTGACTCCATGGTCATGGGACCAATGCAGTTGCACAGGTCCCTGTGCTGAGAAAGGCCAGTGCTGGGGCTTAATGCTCTGTTGTCACCAACTTGAAATTGTTAATAATGTCATCTCTGAATCTGTTTTATAAAAGTCAAGTCTGATAGGACAATGGCGCACGTATCAGGGGCTTGGAGCTTCAGCTCATGAGGGTCCTACCTCCAGTATTCCCTGGACAGATCCTGTCTCTGCTCTCCATCCCCGCCACCTCACCACCCCGACCTCCCCCTCTGAGCCCGCACCCTGAAACTACTCCCAGACTCACGTCCACAACCTAGGGCAGTAACCAAGCTGTCAAGAGCTCCACATTCCATCGTCCCCACCAGGGGAAGCCTGGCACAGACAAGGGGAGAGGAGGGGAGAGGAGGCAAGGTGGCAACCAATCCTGTCCTGGGCTGGCAGCACCAAGGTGTTTGGCAGGCAAACCCACCCTGGATCCAGGTACCATGAACATCCTGGCACAGAGGTTACAATCCCTTGGGAGTCACCCATCTGCTGGGGGTTGGGACAGGGTGTCTGTGGGGCCTGCCCAGGGCGACACGTTTTCATTCTGCACAGTACCCTGCAAATTATGTAGCAAGCCCTTAATTTAACCGATCAAATACTAAATTTTTAAAAAACTCCTCAAGAGACTCTAATGAGTAGCTAGGTTTAGACCTACTTTTAGAAAAGGAGATAAGGTTCTTGGAAGAGTCTATCTTCCCTAAGGTTCACTTTTCTCAGTCAGGCTTTTGACAAGAACTGTATAGCCTTCGATTTGAGGGCCTAACTCTTGGGAGGAGTAAAGCCATATATGCTTTGGAAATCAGAGAAGGCAGAGTGATATCTCATTGTGAAATCTGAAATGCTGGGAAGTGGAAAGGACCATGGACAGGTGTTCACTTGGCTCCTTTTATTTCCAGGGCTGCCCCTCTATAAGCCCCCAAGAGAATTCCAACAAATTCCCTTTTTAAGCTGGTCAGTGTTGGTTTCTGTTGCTTGAAACCAATAAACTCTAAACATTATCATGGATTAAGAATAAATGCATGTGACATGGAAAAAAGTTCTTTTTTTTTTTTTTGGTGAGGAAGATCAGCCCTGAGCTAACATCTATTGCCAATCCTCCTCCTTGTTTCTCCCCAAAGCCCCAGTAGATAGCTGTATGTCATAGTTGCACATCCTTCTAGTTGCTGTATGTGGGACGCGGACTCAGCACAGCTGGAGAAGCGGTGCGTCGGTGCGCCCGGGATCCAAACCCGGGCCGCCAGTAGCGGAGCGTGCGCACTTAACCACTAAGCCACGGGGCCGGCCCATGGAAAAAAGTTCTTAATGTGAGATTCAGTGAAAACGCAAAACGAAGCTAGTACAGTATCATATATCTGGTCATGGCCCATTCAAAGAAAATCTAGAAAGATATATAACAATGTTAACAATGGATATTTTGGGGTAACAGTTTACAAGTGAGTCCTATTTTCTTCTCTACATTTCTGTGTATGCTTCTAATTTTTCTACAGTGAACTTTTACATTATTTGAATTTTTAAAAATTTCGTAAAATATAGGACCAACTACAAATTAATAAAAACAAAAATTCTCCCCCAGAAGAATTAGTTATATTTAACCCAATAGTCAATGTAACTACTTAACAGTTGTAAACCATTCAAATCTTTTAATTTTCCCTTGTGCAGTATGTATGTATCTGTGTCAGGATAGTATTAGGAAGAAAAAGTAAACAGAACAAATTCAGATGAGCAAACACATTCTTAGGCCGACTAAGGAAGCAAAAGTTAGTGAGGAACATTCAGTTCTACAGAATGTCAAAAACAAAGGACTCCAGGATGAAAATTTTTAGTCAATTTGTTACTGACATTTTATTACGTTTTATTTGCTTTGTTAAAACAAAGCCAATTTTCTAAGAGAATACCGTTTAAAAACTGAATTCAGATTAAAGGAGACTAAAGAGACGTGACAACCAAAGGCAATACCTGACCCTAGACCGGGTCCATTACCGATGGAGAAAAACGCTATAAATGATCAAACAAAAATATCCCATCAACATAAAATTTAAACTTGATAACCATCCTGTGACAATATAAGAAACTATCTTATTCTTTTTTTTTTTTGTGAGGAAGATCAGCTCTGAGCTAACATCCATGCCAATCCTCCTCTTTTTGCTGAGGAAGACTGGCCCTGGCCTAACATCTGTGCCCATCTTCCTCTTCTTTATATGGGATGCCGCCACAGCATGGCCTGACAACAGGTGGGTTGGTGTGTGCCCGGGGTTCCGAACTCAGGCCGCCAGCAGCAGAGCGCACGCACTTAACCGCTACACCACGGGGCCAGCCCCAGAAACTATCTTATTCTTAGGAAACACACACAACGTATTTAGGTACTAAAAGTCATGAGATATGCACCTTACTCTCAAGGGTTCAGGGAAAAACAACACACACAGCACAGGGAAGAATATGCAACTTTTAAAGCGAAGGGGATCCAGTGTTGATAACTGCTAAATCTGGATGAAGGGTAATGAGTCTTCCTTGTACTATTTTTATTCTGGTAACTCTTCTGTAAGTTTGAATTATTATTTCCAAATAGAACAATTTTTTTAAAAAACACCTAATTCACTCAGCCTGGTCTGAGGGGGTTATCAACTGGGTTGTGGTTCTAAATTCCATGTTCCTGGAATACCCTTTCTAATTCCTTCCACTTGGAAAATCCTACCCACTCTTTACAAACAAACAACAGTTCCAATCTCGTCTTCTCCATAAAGGCTACACTAGCTTCCAGCTGGAAAAGCTCTTCCTGCCTGTCTCTTCCTATCATTGTTTCAAGTCTGTCTCTCAACTCCAGCTAGACTGTTGTCTCGCAAATAGAGGTAAGCATCCTGACTAACTCTGCATTTCTTCACTGTAATGATAAGGACACTGAGGCCCAAAGATTAACTATCTGCCCAAAGTCACACCATTAGCTAATAGCCAGGATTAAAATAAAAGGATGATCCAAGAACATTCTCAGTCTGTTTACTGAAGGATACCACTCTACCTTCAGGGTTCATCTTTTGAGCCTTCCCCACGTGCCAGGCACCATTCTAGGAGCTTGCCATATATTATCATTTGAAATGCTGTCAGTCTATACACATACACTTGTTTTCTTAGCTAGTTATTTTTACATTCTCTGCAAATATTACTTATATACACATACTCATCTATTATTAATGGACTATGTGTCTACTATTTACCTTCTCAATCTTGTCTCCAAATAATTACCCTGCTTTCTCCCTCATGCATAAGATCATTTATAGACAGAGCTGCAAAGAACTCAGAGTTCTCTTATTTGAAGACTATTCCTCAGCAAGAGTGTCTACCTAACAGCTCCCACTTCAGCCTCTCCCCTGTCCTTTTACTTCCAAATGGACTTTCAGTCACAGTCAAAGTATTTCTCACTTGGGATTTGCTTTCATTCATTCATTTAAAAAATATTTCTTAAAAATATAGCTATATTTGTTAAGCATCTATCTACGACAATTCTGATCATAGGTAATAGACTGGATAACAAAACCATGAGGTCCTTGCCTTCTACATTCACCGGGGGGAGACAGACAAGCCAACAACGCCAGGCACGAGCAGCCAGAGAGCAGAGAACACAGCGGGAAAGGGCCGCATTTTAGAGGGAACATCTCTTTGGGGTGGTAATTTTAAGCAGAGAACTATCTGGGATCCTTCAGAATCCGATATTTGTCTACTAGAGCAAAAATCAATTCTGATCATTAATGAGAATCCTGGTAATTATTAGTCTTTCAGTATCAGACTGCCTTTTTATAAATAAAATCAATCAGATTGAAAGTCTGAGATCTGAAAATTAAGAATCTGAACTCTTCCCAGGCCAATAATACTTTGAATCAAATTCTTCACAAGTTTACAAAATTCAAAGCAGATACAGTCCCTATTTTGATAGTTCTGAATAAAACATACATAGCATTATCAATGGCTATAATGATACACAGCAAGCATTCTTTAACAATTTTTACTTCTTTCCTATATGTGCCAGTCATATATTCTCAAGTTATAAGACAGGATAAAATTATATGAGAACACAACTTATCAATAAATGTGACTGTGACCTTAATTTTTAAACTTTTGTAAGACTGTATGCATTAAATTCATAAATCAGAAAAGAAAATAAAACCCTATCATATCATGTATGCATCCTCATTTGCTGATTACTCTAACAATACTGGGAAATTAAGTTAGGGTTTTCTTTTGCTAAAATAATAAGTAATTCAACACATTCCCCCTCAAAGGTCAAAAATGAATGCATTTTATAACTAACGACTATAAAAAGCCCCTCCTAAAAGTAACTTTAAAAACTTGAACAGCTTAAAGTAGCCCATTTTCAGTCAGAAAGACATAAATAAGAACTAATGATGCTCTCATGCACTCATTGGAAGTATTAGCAATTTCCTTCTTGACGTATCTTACCCATTCTTCAAAAACTCCCAGTTCAGACCTCACCTCCATAAAGCCAACACTGCATCCCCACTCTTACTGCTTCTCCTAAAAGGTTACTCATGTCCTCTTACCTTCAGCAACTCCTTGCAGCTGTCAAGCCCAATATCCACAAGAATGCCTTTCACCTTTTTCCGTACCTTCCTGATGTTGTCAAGATTCTCCACAGGAATTTGAAACATTTTTGAAGTTTTCCTTAAAAGGGAAGAAAACAAAACTGTAATAAGTATGTATATAGATATACAGATATACATTTCGTTTTTAACAGGGTTGGTAAAACACTAAGAGTAAAGTAAACTTTCAACAAATTATGCTGGGACAACTAGACAGCCATATGCAAAAGAACAAACTTGGACTCCTTCCTTACATCACAGACAAAAATTAACTCAAAATGGATCATATACCTCTATGTAAGAGCTAAAACTTTAAAACTCTTAGAAGAAAACACAGGCATAGATCTTCATGACCTTGGATTTGGCAATAGATTCCTAGATATAACACCAAAAAGCACCAACCACAAAAGAAAAAATAGATAAGCTGGACTGCATCAAAATTAAAAATTTTTGTGCTTCAAAGGAAACTATCAAAAAAAAAAAAGAAAAGAGAATCCACAAAATGGGAGAAAATATTTGCAAATCATATTTCTGATAAGGAACTTATATCCAGAATATATTAAAAACTCTTATAACTCAATAATTAAAAGACATCCCAACTTAAAAACGGGCAAAGGAACTGACTAGACACTTCTCCAAAGACAAAAGACAAATGGCCATTAAGCACATGAAAAGATGCTAAACATCAGCTATGGGGAAATCCAAATCAAAACCACAATGAGACACTATTTTACATCTACTAGGATGGCTATAGTTTTTAAAAAAGAAAAGAACAAGTGTTAGCAAGGATGGGAAGAAATTACATCTCTCATACATTGCTAGTAGTAATGTAAAATGGTGCAGCCAGTTTGGAAAACACTCTGGCAGTTCCTCAAAAGACTAAATATATAGGTACATATAAATCAGCAATTCTACCCAAGAGAAGTCAAAAACATGCATTCAAACAAAAACTTGTACAAGAATGTTCATAGCAGCACTATTCTTAACAGCCAAAAGTGGAAACAACCCAAATGTCCATCAACTGATGAACGGATAAATAAAATGTGGTATATCCATACAATGGAATATTATTTGGCCATAAAAAGAAATGAAGTACTGTCACATGCTACAACATGGATGACCCCTGGGGAACGCTATGCTAAGTAAAAGAAGCCAGACACAAAACAGCACACACTGTCTGATTCCATTATATGAAGTGTCCAGAGCAGACAAATCTATAGAGACAGAAAGCAGAGCTGAGGTCTGGCTGCCTAGAGCTGAGGAGGATTGGAAGGAGATGGCAAGGGGGAACAGGGTTTGTTTTTTTTTTTTGGAATAATGACAATGTTCTAAAATCGACTGTGGTGATGTATGCACAACTCTGTGAATATACTAAAAGCCACTGAATTGTACACTTTGAATAGCTGAATTGTATGGTATATAAATTACATCTCAATAAAGCTGTTTTTAAAATATCTGAAAAGGCATAACATTAAAATAAAACCTGTGGTACTTGACCAAAATAGGAGGTACAGGTGTGACCTTATTGTTTTTAATATTCACATAGATAAAAAATAAACATAGTTGTAAAAGTGTGTGTGTATATTCCATAGCTCTGTCCACTGAAAGAGCCTGGAAGCAGTTGCACATCCCAGCAGCAATGTGCACTCCTAGGGCCCAAATCTCACTTTCCAAATACTACTTTCCATTAAAAGGAACCAGGGCTCCTTGAAAAAATGGCTGATTCTACAGCTGGAACATGGAAAAGACAAGATGAGCCTAGAACGTCTTGTGCCAGAAAATAAGGAAGTTGCTCAAAGAATGATAAGACATGTCAAAAGAACTCAAAAGAATCCAGCTTGAAGAAGTTCCCAAAAGCCAAATGTGGGATAATTTGGGCATCTAATAAACAATGATAGTAACAGATTATACCCTGTGGCATTGAATTTTCCAAAGATAATGTAACAGTATCTCCCATCCCACATGCTCTTCTTAAAATATGACCTTGACACTCCTCCCAAAAAGTGGGGGCATCTATGCCCCAACTCCTTGAAACTAGGCAGAACTTTGTGGCTGCTTCAACAAAGTATGGCAGAAGTAATGCCATGTGACTTCCAAGGCTAAACCACAAAAACGCCACACACTTCTGCTTGCTCTCTGGGAACCATCAGGCTTAGAATCCAGAAACCATGTTGTGAGGAAGCTCAACTAGCCCACATGGAGGTGTTTCACGTTAACCACCAGTGAGTGAAGATGCCTCTGGAGCCCCTAGCTGTCAAGTCACTCCCAGCCTTTGAGTCTTCCCAGATAGCATAAAACAGAAACAAGCCATCTCCCACGCTTCTGCTTGAACTCCTGACCCAAAGAATTATTGAGCTTTCTTAATAAAATGTTTTATTCCATGAAGTTCTGAGGTGGTTTGGTATACAGCAATAGTAACTAAAATATAACCCACTAGAATATACACAAGATCATGGTGATATAAATAATTAAATAAATTGAAAGTCTGATGAGGAATGGGATATTTACATGGTTTCCAAGCACCTCCCCACAAAATACTTATTATTAACCAAGGGAAAAAGAGTAATTCACAGAAGTCTGGCAGACAAGTCCAAATTAAGAGACACTGTACACAATAACTAGCCTATAATATTCAGAAGTGTCCAGATATACAAGGTAGCACTATTCATAATAGCCAAAATGTGGAAGCAATCCAAATGTCCATCAAACGGTAAATGGATAAACAAAATGTGGTATATCCATACTATAGAATACTATTTGGCAATAAAAAGTAGGTACTGCTGCAAGCTACAGCATGAATGAATCCCAAAAACACTACACTAAGTGAAGGAAGCCAGATGCAAAGTCCTCTTATGGTCTGACTCCATTTATATGAAATGCTCAAAAAAGACAAATCTAGAGAGATGGAAGGGAGATTAGAAGTTAGCTGGGGATGGGAACAGCTAGTAATTGCAGACGGACAGGTTTTCTGGGGAGTGCTAGAAATTCTAATATTAGATTGTGGTGAAGGTTGTACAACTCTTTAAGTTTACTAAAAATCAATGAATTACACACTTTTAAAAAAAGATCATGGAAGGAAATACTAAGGAACTGTTCCAGATTGAAAGAGACTAAAGATAAGTGAATACAACATGCAGTTCTAACTAGATTCTTTTACTCTAAATGATATTGGAACAACTGACAAAACTTCAATGGCATCTGAGGATTCTATGGTAATAATCTATTGATTTCCTGATTTTGATGGTTGTGTTCTGGGTATGTAGAAGAATGTTCTTATTTGTAGGAAATAGACAATATTTGGCATAATGTGGCATCCTATTTGGCAACTTTCAAATGATTCAGGGGAAAAAGTTCTTTGCACTTGCAACTTTCTATAAATCTGCAACTCTTTCAAAAAAAGGTTTTTAATGTGCAAGCTATAAAAGCTAAAAACAAAGTCAGTCAAATTCAAGTTAAAGAAACACCAGGCAAACCATCAAAAGAATAACTTTCAAAGATTGATATATCCACTGGTAGTGAGAGTAAGTAGAAAAACTGTGATTTCTACGTGTTTAGAGGGCAATTTGGCAGCATCTCCCAAGATTTTAAACGACAATTTCTGTGAGTTGGCAATTCCACTTCTATGCTCCTGTAACCCCTCCTCCCCCAAGGATAAGCTTGGTGCCCCTCCTCAGAATTCTCAGAGTAACCAATTTATACTTCTGTCATTGCACTCATCTCACTGTGCTGCAATTACCTATTTATATATCTATTCCCCCTACTGGACTGAACTTCTTCAGGGCAGGAATCATGTCGTCTTTCCATGTCTGCGGCCAATCAAGGAACATAATACATAGCAAATGTTCCGAACAAGTGAACAAAACATATAAAACAGGGTAAGAATCCTAAAACATGTAAAAAGTGATATGGAGGTTCAAAATGGAAAGGCTATGGAGGTCTGGAGAGCTGGAGGCCAAGACCTTCCAGGTGAATACATCAGCATCAAAAAAATGACTGAGGGGCTGGCCTGGTGGGGTAGTAGTTAAGTTTGCGCTCTCCACTTCGGCGGCCCGGAGGGTTCGCAGGTTCGGATCCTAGGCGCACACCGCACACCGATGCACCGCTTGTGAAGCCCTCCTGTGGTGGCATCCCACATATAAAGTACAGGAAGACGGGCAGGGATGTTAGCCCAGGGCCAGTTTTCCTCAGCAAAAAGAGGAGGATTAGCAACCGACGTCAGCTCAGTGCTAACCTTCCTCACAAAAAAAAAAAAAAAAAAAAACTGAGGTAAGGAGGAAAAGTCTAAAGATATTTGGCAAAAGGTAAGTAAAACCAAAAAGGTTTTCACTTGAGAGGCAACACAGCACAATGGTCTCACAAGCAAGGATTCTGGAGCTGCACTGCCTGAGTTCAAATCAGCTCCACAATTTATTAGCCGTGTAATCTTTGGCAAATTACGTCATCCCTGGGCCTCAGTTGCCTGCCTGCAAAACAGAGAGAGTACAACCTACTCCATGAAGTATTGTGAAGATGAATGAGTTAACACAAGAAAAGCACTTAGAACAGAAGCACTGTGACTTTGCTATTAGCTGACTCCAAAAATCTAAATGAAATGCCGAAAATACTGGAATACAGGGCTTTTATTTTTGTGCCATACATGAAAGCAAGATTCAGGTCTGGGTTCAAACACAGGCAGATCCCCCCCAGACACACCGTCTTCAGCAGGTCATCAGCCTTCCAGTTTCCTCACACGTTAACACACCGCCCTAATAAATGTGACAGCCAAAGTGGAGGGCACAGCAGAATGCTGGGGACTCATCCCCTTCAAATGACTACAACCATAAATTCACCAATAGCATACTGCAAACCTGGGTTCAAATTAAAAAGGCGCCCCACAATCTCTTCTAAAAATTTTGCCACAACTCTGCCTTCATCCCCCATAATCAATCATCAATTCCTAACCCTAAATACAGCCCTCCTATTCCTACCACCTCAATCAGACAGCAGAACTTCTCTTCTCCCTCCTCCTGGCCATCCTCTAACCAGCACAGTTTCCTGCTACATACAGATCTCTCACTTCCATGCTTAAAGACCACTGGCTAGACAAAGTCCCAACTGCAACCTAAATATCCAAGTTCCTTCATAATATGGTCAACTCCCCAGTAACAGCTCTAAAGAAGTCACACATAGGTTACTTGACCCCCAACCCAACAGGAACGTGCACTTTTCACAGCGCCTAGTCCTACATGCGGTCCTCTCTCTCCCACAAATG